GAGAGTGTGTGTGTGTGTGTGTGTGTGTGAGTGTGTGTGTGAGAGTGTGTGTGTGTGAGTGTGTGTGTGCGTGTGAGTGTGTGTGAGTGTGTGCTGTTCTTCAGCACTGCTGTATTTGTCTGCTGGGTGCTCAGTTATTGTCAGTATGATATCTGTATTTATATCACTGATATCAGTTCTGCTGACAAATATTTCAAATAGCAGCTTGTTACTTAAACCATTTGTTGAATTAATTTTTTTTTTTTTAATTCCTAGGATTTAATTCCTAGGAACTGAGAAATGAGATTTTAAATCTTAAGAGTTTCATTTCATGGTTAAATAAAGTTTTTTTTTTAATAAATAAAAAATCACTTCATTTTACGTTTGATTTCAATTTCTTTATTTTTTTTAGCCCAGCCATGAATATTTGTAGAGATGCAATCCATGTCTTTACTCAGATTACGTGAAAAAATTATTTACATTTGTGTTAATCTAATTTAATTTAATTTCATAATATTTTTTTATTATTTTCACCCCGCATCATTGCTCAAATTATGTGGATTTAATTGAGATGTGTTGAATGTATTTTTCTTCATGTTATTTTGCTCACAGAGATGAGATCCAGTGTTGTGATGACACTGTGTGCGTGTATTTACTCTTTTATGTGAATCTGCTTTGACCTCGATGTTCTGTTCGGGAACTGAGAAGCTTTTAATTGCTTAAAAACATAATTAATATTGACGATAATAAAGCTGATAATTGTATTATTTATTAATAAACAAGCTTGTGTTCTTATGAGATCAGGTATTAGATGGCCTTCTTCACTTTTCTTTGATTTGGGTTTTGGTGAAGAACATGTTAACGAGCAGCAGGTGAAAGAAGAGTCTGAGTTCATAATGAATCATCAACCTCATGAAATCACATGAAAACAGCTGTGAAACTTTGGTTGATCTCTGCTATAATATCACTCAAATGTCTGATATGAGCAGTGCATGTTTTCAGATGATTGTAAGAGCTGATGGATGAAGATGAGCACTAAACCCGTCTCTCTCTCTCTGTCTCTCTCTGTCTGTAGGAGACTCGTCTCTAGTCGGTGAGTTCAGCATGTTTCTTTTCTTCTGCTGATCTTTATAAAGATGTCTTGAGCCACTGAAGGTTGTGAGCGTGACTTTCATGTCAAACTGCATTATTATTCTCTCTTTCTGTTGATGATGCTGTAGCGTAACCACATAAAAACACACAAAACACAAGTGTGCGTGTGTAGCGGTGATGCATTGTATTCTCCCCTCTATCTCTCTCTCTCTCTCTCTCTCTCTCTCTCTCTCTCTCTCTATTCATAATGTCGGCTGTTTGAGACTGTATTGGTTTCGATCAATCATACTCTGCTTAGAGCTGAATGTGTTGACCGCTGCAGTTCTGCTGCCTTTCACTGAAGACATACGAGGCAGAGAAATTAAACGACTGGAGTCTTTTGACTTTCACACTGTGTTATTGACCACGCTCAGCCAAACATCTTCACACAGACACACACACACTCACACACACACACACACACACACTCACACACACACACACACACACACACTCACACACACTCTCTCACACACACACACACGGCTGATGTTTTCTCTGAGTCTTGGCAGATCAGGAGCTGTTTCTAAAGCAGTCATCATGAAAGTCTCAACGCTGCCTCAGTGTCTTTGTGACAGTACTGTATGTTTGAAGATCTGCTAACACATGCACTGGAACTGAATTCACATGCAGGTCAACTTGTGTTTTTAAGCTAGACTCTAAAATGACATTCATAACTATTTGTAAATCTTGGATGCTTTGGAGCGCATAAAATAGACAAATGGTAGATTATTGTTGAAGTGACAAACCGTTCATGTGTAACAGATCATGTTGAAGACATGTTACATCATAAATGGAGAATTTGTCTATATTTTTGAACATTTCAGACAAAAAAAACTTGAAAAACAATCAGGGTTTGCACAGATCTTTGCATGATTGCACGTTTATCTTCATAATAAAAGTCTGAATGGTGTTTACGATTTTGCTGCATACTCGTTACAGAAATTAGTTTGTCCAGATTAGTTTAGGTTAATTGCCTTTTTTTTAGTAATACATGTTATGAACTGAGCATGTTAAAGCACGTGAGTGCTGGAGTACGCAAGCTGAGAAGCTTCAGTCTGTGGCGGGGCTCGTCGACTCTCACGGTCGCTGGTTTTGTGGAGGAAATTCTCCTCGCCGCCGCCGTCTCCTGCTCGAGTGGGATTTCAGAGGCACTCCAGAGGAATTATGGGAGATGTAGTCCACGGAAGTAAAGCATACTCCTGACCAAACGTGCTAAGCCTGAGAGATAAAGAGACAGACAGAGAGGATGTTATCTGGAATACGCTGAAATACTGCAGTGCTGTCAGAAAGAGAGTCAGATGATGTGTGTTTGGAGCAGCAGCCGCTCACATTAATGCTGTTCTGAATGAAGTGTGCTGGATGACACACACACACACACACACACACTCTCTCTTTCACTCAGAACACAACAGGCCAATCAGAAGAGAGGCTCATGAATATTAATTAGACAGGCCAAAATCGACCTGTTCTCAGCAGAGCTCCTGAGAGAGGAGCTGTAAAAATATATTGAGATGGTTTTTGGTACTTATACCGCAAATATATATTCTTAAGGACATCAAAACCAAAAATAAAACTTCAGAAAGGTGTAAAATATGTGACCTTTAAGTCTGACATTTGAAATAATAGTCAGACAAATCAAAACTGTTGAAATTGAACAATTTATTGAACATTTTGACAAACAAATAAAAAAAAATCCACAGTTTTTTTGTTTTGTATCATATTTGATCCATCAGGTTTTATGGCTCATATAGTCTGATATAGTGAGAATATAGTGTGAAAAAACAGCTCAGCTTTGTTCAGACACTCAAATATATGCAATTTGCTGCAGATGCTGATTTTCTATGGACAAAAGTTGAAATTCAGATAGCTTGTGCATCCGTGAGATCTTTGTAACAGTATAGCAGATACTTGACATAAGAGGATATAAATATGAGTCGGTTTGTTTCTGTTTGATGCTGTTAAATCACAGAGAACAGAGATGTTTTAACGGCCCTGTCTCTCTCTCTCGTGTCTGTCTGCTCAGGACGCTGTGATTGTGTTGAATGCGTGTGAATGGAGGAGACTTGATTTTCTCTTTCTTTCATGTGTGTCAGAGCGTTTGCCTTTCTCTCTGTTTCTGTTTCATGTGTGAGAGCGATTATGAGACACAAGGACAGCAGCGCCGCTAATTTCATTACAGACACACAGAAATGAAGAATCCGTTTAATTTCCCTTCCTGACTGTGAATTTACTGCATGTTCAGTCCATTTCCACTGCGTTCAGATGCAAAACAATCAATATCATGAGCAAAATATCAATCTGTCAACTAAACATTGGCGATCAGCTCTGTTTGGAGGAGTTTGTGCTTCATGAAAACACTAATAGTGCTGCAATGTCAGAAACACCTGACGCGCTTCTTCATGCTCATTTAGTCCAGGAGCTTCAGTGTTGGGAACTGCTGCACTAGAGCCTTCAGGGAAATGAAAGCACAGACAGGTGTGTGTGTGTGTGTGTGTGTACATGTGTGTGTGTGTGTGTGTGTGTGTGTGTG